ATACGATGAACTTACAAGGAACAGATGTGGTTGAAATCTCTGACTGAGAGGATGCGCCTTTACTGAATTCCAGATATGAATAATCTGTACGAGAAATTTATAAATAAGTATAAAACGCTTTCAATACTAACAACGGTGTACAATCTATAGTTGGAGATCACTTTTCAAGTGAAGAACTCAGATCAATAACAAATCAGAGAATGCTTACCATCATTTGACAAATATCATATCTGTGGGCCACCATAGACAGCTTTGTGTACTAGTGCTCTTTTCTTAACTTCCTCCTCTACCACTAAATTACATTCTAAGGTCCTTAATTTCATTAACTCTACAAAATTACAGTTCACAGCATTAAAGTTGAGCTCGTATAAGGAAATGGTCCATAACTTCATATATATTAATAACTTTCCAGAAATTCATGAGATGACATCAAACACCATGTGCTGCTATAGCCTAACCTGTCTGAGCTGCTTCCAGAAGCATCTCTTCTTGGGTCATCCTCTTCTCCTCTCCTTCCCTTTTCCTTTTTATTCCCTAAAGATCGAAAAAATATAAAAGACTGGATAAACATTCATGCCAACTTATAGGATCACAAATTACAAACTGTGACAACATTGTGTGCAGAGAGTCTCTTCCTGGTATTGTAGATAGACAAACGTGGCACCAGAACCATAATTGTAGAAACACTAAAGAAATCAAGGGCCCAATAATGTAACTATACAAATACCTTGATGTAAGCCCATGAATTGAACTGAGTGGTATAGGCCCTTAGTTTCAACTAAGAGGCCAAAGATTCAGGTTCCTAACACCAACAAGTGTAAGTCAAATCAGATAATAAAGATACTCTAATAGTGTAGGACAAAAAATAAAAAATCTGCGAAAAGCACAACACCGAAAAACAGATGAATGTCTCAATATAACAGAACACACTCACGTCTTCATCAAAGTCACTATCAAACTCATCAGCAACCTCTGCCTCCTCTACATAATTATTATCATTCTCTTCCTGCAAAAAAAAAAATAATAATAATAATAAAAAATAAATAAATAAAGTAACACACACACACACACACACACACACACACACATATATATTAGTGTGTCATAGTAAAACTTGTAGCACTTTGGAGTTAAAACCGCCCATCCATCGTATTTTGTTAGAAAAAACTATTGTTGCACTTATTTTGTTAGAAATGCAATTAAAGAGTTAAAATCACTCAGTAAGTGCTTTCCCAAACATCTCCTTTTAGCTGCTTTTATCCAAAAAAAAAAAAAAAACAAAACAAAACAACACACAATTTTACTTGAAAGCTTCTTCTAGAGAAGCACTCCGACCACATTCATTATAAGCAGTCCTCTTGTTAACAGAAATTTCATTTTTGTTGCTTAATTTTCAGAACCAGATCATCGTGATCTACCAACGAAAAAAGTTGCAAAAGCACAACAGAAAACTGAATGCAAAGAAAATACAAATGGTGACAATCAATTAAGCTATTCATAAGAAAGATTAAGTGGTAGACTTTCTTATCCACAAAATAAAAGAACAGATTTCAAATTCGAATAAGAATGCTTTGAATAATGCATAATCCACTACCTCCTTAAGAGCATCCTGATTCCAAAACAGCTTATCCTCTTCAATTTCATCATCGAGCAGCTTAGTCATCCTGAAAAATCATTCATTTTAGTCTCTCCAATTCCCACTCAAGTATTACATCAATACAACCATAACTTATGAATTTTACCACTACACAGCCAGCAAACAGGCACAGGATTCATCACATGTAACATCACATACATTACACAATCCGGGACAGGATTGATATTGTTAAATGTTTAACCAACGCGTAAATGTTACAAATTTAAAATGATATAAGACTATTTGTTCAAAGAAATGAAACTGTACCTCCATTTAGATTATCAGATTTTATTTCTTAACACATAGTAATAATTTCATTTCAAGTCCAACAACTACCAAAAAATGAAACAATTCATCAGATCACGCTACCACTGTATCCTAAATCTGCACATAAAGGATGCTAACTGCACCAATTTCTTATCTTTAAAAAAAAAAAAAAAAAAAAAAATGTAATGAAAAATCATAGTCCTGGCATTATGTTCTCTCGGTAACTTTACCATCTAGCAATGTAGGGGAAGCCACCGTCCCAAACTGTTTCATTCCGGTCCAGCAACTTATCTTTTAAAAATAAAATTTCCAGGCCTCGGATCCCGGTAACACTACCGTTATAGCGTCATAGTTTCGCATTACCATAATATAAGCAACGAAGAAGAAATTATATGAAACTTACCTTTTTCCTCTTGTTGCTCGAGAGGCGCGGTCGAGAAAAACGACAGAAGCATCTTCTTTGCTCGAGGTTTCTTCCATTGCCTCCGCTGCGGCTTCAACAGAAATTCTTTTTTCAGTTCTTTCGGGAAATAAATGTCGAGCGCCTCGAGTGTCGCTTGCAGATGAAAATTTCTAGGTTTTCTAGTCGACTCTTCAACGAATTACGGAAGAAACTGACGAAACGAAGATCAAATAAGGAAGAAGAAAGATCGAGAAGGAGAGCGAGAGGGAAAAGAGAAGCTGTTTGGTTACCGAGAAACAGTGGAGTTTTTGTAAGGGGTTTGTTCTGGAAAATATTAAAGACCCCCGAGTCTTCCTATTTTCATATTGACCCTTTAGGTTTCAATGCTATCGTTGTCCCCTTAAATTTGTCTTTAATATCAAATTTACCCCTATGGTTTCTTAACTAAAACATGTATTTAATATATCAGTCAGTATACTGTATAGAACTTAACTGAAAATTTTTATTTTAAAACTAAATTTACTTTTATCAAATAATTCAATTTCTTTTTTTTTTTTCTGCGTTTTCAAATAAACATATTGAATGCGTATTTATTTTTCACTTTTTTCAATATTTTCAATATTTTTAAAAATATAAAAAAACCAAAACAGAATTTCATACACACTAAACTTTAATTAACTCAATTTTATATATATGTCATTGAATTAAGATAAATAAATTGTTTGTAATTGAAAAAAATTAATTAAAGTAGCCAAAAGCTCTCAATTCTTCATCTGTCATGATTTAAAGTCAAAATCTAACCAAATCTAAAGATTTAATTTCAGCAATTCAACACTAATTTAAGCCATTTAAATTAGAATAAACAATTAAATAATAATAATGTTAGATTACGTTTTCTGCTCTTTTATGATTCTCTTCTCATGTTAAAGATGACTCTCCAAGGAGAGGAGAATTTTGTTTGATACATTACAGATTCTAATAATAATATACAACGATATTCTTTTGTATCATATAATATATAATATTAATTAATATGTTACCAACAATGCTAAAACATGTGCTCGTGTTACGTACCTGTTCTCAGGGTTTTGAGCATTCTATGCTCCGTTATCTGCTTCCAATATTTGAGGTACCTGCATAAAATTTAACAAAAGTACTCATTGAAAATAAAACCGGCAAATTATGAATAATAATATTTTAAATAATTGAAACAATTAAAAGTATTGAGGGCTGATTAGGAAAAAACCTTATAGATTGTAAGTCGCCTGCATAAATCAAGCATTCAAATTCCTTTTGATTCCATTCATCATTTTCTTTTCTAGTAATGGTCGCCCCTGCACTATCCATATACAAATAAATTAAATAGGTAGTTTATGAATTAAATTTCGGTACCCAAATTCACCTATAACTGTGTCGAGCTCCTATTCTAATTGAACGTCAACCTGCCACCTTGCCGGACTGATATTCCCCACCTGTTTATGATATTGATGAGACATAAATAATAAAATTTGCAATGAGAATCTTAAATAATCCAATATTACGTCAAAAAGTACAAAGTTGGTAGATATACCTTTTAAGAAAATCTTATTTCCTGTTCAGCTTGTCCGACTAATGGATTTGATCTCTTTGTTTTACTATTCAATGCTTTGCTTTCCCATGAATCTTCCATTACAATTTTCTGACATGAATCTAAGCAAACTATATATGTTGTGATTATGGTAAGGATCCTAATAAAACGATCATGAATCAAACAATTAAAGAAAGAAAAAGTATTTTGCATCAAAATATTGTTCAAATAGTACAACTATTTACAACAATCAAAATTCCTTTATTTATCTACAATTGAATTGAGTTGTTATATAAACATCCCTAAGCTCTTGCATAGCTTAGAAATGAAGAAATTAATTAAACATCATCTCCTTTTGCGCTTTGCTCCTTATACTTTCTCAATGTTAGCCTTCCTCTACAAAACAATATTAACTAATTAACTCAAATTGGCAATAACGATTAAAAATTTGGATCAATTTTGGTGAATGTTATTCATACCATATTTTCAGGTAGTCCTTCTCACTTCTCTGCGTCTTGCTTCTTATTCTTTTCGATTTCCTGCATGCAATTACGGTTTGATTTCTTTATATTGAAGCTATTTACTCTTCTCATGGATTTTAGGTTGTTGTGAGCATTCATTCTTATATATGAATAGTTTTTTATTCCAACGTCTTTAGTTCTTGATAACATAAAATATTTACTAAGACAACTCATCCTAGTAATCTCTGTTTATAGTCCCTATAAATTATGCATTAATATTTAAACCATCAAATGAAATAATGACAAGACATTAATGTTAATTTAAACGATCATTAATTACCTACCTCTTCTTCTTCATTGCCATAATGGTCATGGATAATCATCATCACCGTCTTCTTGTGATTCAGAAAAAATAACAAACACAAACAATTAATTTCTATTTAAAAACAAAAAGAGACATTTACCTAATATTTTCCTTTTTTTATTTTTATTATTATAAGCTCTTTTTTATTGTTTATTATGAGACGAAGTAGAATTCAACCTAAGGTTAATTTAGATTTCAAAACGAAGAAAAATTTGAAAATGCAATTACAACAATAAAATCTTAACAAAATGATTTATATTGTACTTGAAAAATAATTTTAGTTTAAAAAGTTATTGAATTAGTCAAACATGATTCATACCATTTACATTGTTGAGGAACTGTTTCTGCCATTCCTCCTGCAAAACAAAACATGGTGATTTAACTAAACATAATTTAACTTATATTCAGAATTAATCAAAAAAAAAAAAAATGTTTTAACTTATTAAGTATTTTTGCAACTAAACATAATTTAAGAAGACATTATGGATTTTGTATTATGATGTGCAAATTTTCTGATCAATGCTCTGTTTCCAAATTATGCATCAATCATCTACTAATAAAAGAAAAAATATATATATATTTTGCATTTAAAGTTTCATTTTTTTCAATTGTTAACTATGAACAATTAATCAATTCACATACCTCTTGTATGCACAATTGTTGCACTATGGAGTTAAGGTTACCCATCCATCGTTCTTCAAAACATATCACAACTTTTTTGAGTTTTGGTGTCAGTTGTTCTCCATAACTAAAGATCTTCATATTTGGACATCCATATATATTGAATGTCTCCAAAACTGGGAATTCAATGGAATATAGGCCTGAGCTAAAACAAGCAATGTTATCCAGCCTTCCAAGCAACAAGGAGGACAAACTAGGAAACACAATCCTCTGTACTACTGATGCTTCCTCATTTGTGATTATTTCATGTAGTGTTGAGCATCCCTCTATTGCAAGACTGCTAAGCTTCACCAGGCTTTTAACTATGGACGGGGTGAAGAGGTTTTTCAATTTAGAGCACTCCTCTATTCTTATAGAAGTCAAGTTTCGCAAACTTGGGGAGGTTATGGTGTGATCTTTCCTCCATGGTACTATACCTTTTTCTTCATATTCCTCTTCTTCTTTCGTTCCGAAGATGAAGATCTCCTCTAACTTTTTGCAACCTAATATCTTCATCTCTTCTAAACAAATAAGACTGTGCAATAAAGCTGGTGAAAATAGCTTAATTAAGTTTGGGCAAGTGCACAATCTCATTATCTTTAAGTTGCCAAGGTTTATGTATTGAGAGTCACCCTTCCATATATGTGTCATCTCTGGTAGATGATACAAATCTAGATCCTTTAATGACGAGAGCAACTTTGTTTTTCCATTTGCAACCTTAAGCTCTTCACAATCGAATATGTATACCACTACTTCACAATTATGTACTTCAAAAGATTCTGGATTTTGAAACCTCTGTAACAGATGACTTGGAACAATGTTTAAGAACTTGTTGCACTGATGCACAACTAAAATTTTGAGCTTCTCAAAGGACTGGATTGGGGGTTCACCATGGCATATTTCAACCAAGTTGGGATGGTCTCGAATTTCTAGTTCCTCTAAGTTTTGGAATGTTAACTTTGATTCCCTTTCCAACATATTTAGGAGATATGTTACTTCCTGATGAGTCACAGTTAGACTTTTCAACTCATTGAGACCTCTATCTACAAGGTCAAGAAAGATGTTTTGTAAACCACAGATAAATAGATACTCTGTTTTTCTAGTTACCAAATGATTAAGGCAATTAACCAATCGTAAAATCGTAACCTCATTAGCTGAGATCATAATTTTTCTTGAATAATATCTTTTAGCCCGCAAAAGGTTCTCCATATTGTTTTCAGCACCTATTATTATTGTAAAGCTTGATAACTTTTTGAAAGGCATGTCATTATCGGGCAAAAGATCCGGGTTTGGGATAAAAATTTTCAAGCTAGTTAATCTAGACAAGAATTGTAACTCGGTAAGGGTGGCACTTCTTGTCCAATGCCACTGATCTTCAAAAGCCGCAGACCTAGGATGTCTCAAATTATATAGCTCCTCTAACTTACAAAGAGCAGATATAACGCCATCTGCTATTTGCGTTAGCTCCATATAGTTGTTCAAATCTAATAGGCGTAGATGAATTAATTGGCTAAAAGAGATGGGAATCTCCGAAATCTTAGAACCACAAAGGCTAAGAATTTCTAGGTTTCTTAGATTGAGAAAGAAACACAAGGTTTCAGTTATAACAAAGTATGCTACCGACTCACCTTATAGTCTTCTTCTATGTGAGCACTCCATCCAAAAACAGCTTTTCTTTTCTTTTTTCTTTTAAAAAAAAAAAATAAAAATTGACAGTATCACTGTTACTTTTATAAATAACCTAAAATTACCCCAAATAATAACTGTTACAATAACAAAGGTAGTGTTGTAAGCACCACTATTACCTTCCCAAACACTAAAAAAGTATAATTGAATAGTTTATATTTGTTACAAAATTAAAGTACGTACAAGTCGAACTCTAAAATGTGACAAATGGTGAGGACATTATGATTCCTCGTGAGTGTGTGTTCATCATATCTCATTCTCTTCCTAACCGGGACAGGGGTAAGCCGTATAAGTCTTACAGAAATCTTGAAATGAAAGACCCAAAGTGCAATTTAGCTGGGCAAGTCTATCCAATGTTATTGGTTATGGAATTGTTAAGATGTGGAGTCCATTAAAGACTTTTTCCAAACCCCGTTAAATCTACAATCCACATCATATAATCAATTCCACAAAATGAAAATTAAATTATAAATATTCATCACACTTCAATAAATTCGATCTTTACACTTTCCTAATAAATTCCAAATTTGATGACTCTGCATTTACTCTCGTTTTGAAACCATTTCATGAACTGGTTCTCTCCGAATTTCCCACTACAATATCTAGATTTAACCTTAAGAAAGGCATGTCGTGAATGTGAGTCCTGGATAAAATATCCTTTTATTATTCAGAAACTGAGATTTCCATCACAAGTTTTACATGCACAATTTCTTCCTAATTTCCATAATATTTTCAAGTTTTCAAACTCTTAATTTAGAAACAAAAATGCCGTTCCAAGCCAGGAACCTGTGATCATTAATTATATGACTCGACTTACCATATTAATCGCTCTAAAATAAATGCTTTAACACTGTACTATTGTATTTGTATAAGGTTATAATATATAGTTCAGGCACAAATCTAACAAATTGAGAAGTTTTCATAACTCAATTTTATGCATACGTCCTGTACTGTACAAACAAAGCGATAAGATTTTTCAGAGAAAAATCATTATTAGATCAGTTACTTGAGTCATCACCATATTAGATTCATAGCGACCATCCATTAATATGGAGGGAAAGTCTCAATATTACGCAACATATTAATTTAATCTGCTTCTAACAGAATCCCTGAAAGCCCTATAGCAAAACCCTCTGGTCGAATATCATAATTTTCATTTTCAACACTTATTTATGGTCATTAATTTTAGTTGGATACACTGGTACACATATTGATCTGATGTCTATGTAGAAAGACTTTTTTCCTTACAATGATTTTATTTGGTTTCTATTTATAAAGAGAACGAAGAAGAAAATTAGTTGATAGAGTAGAATAAAAGCGTTGGCCGTTGGGCAAATAAAAATGTTAGTTGTAGAGCAGTAAATAGGAGCTTGGGCAAAAAGAGAAAGTTAGGCTGAGAGAGTACAATAGGACCCGTTGCAAAACGAAAAATTAGTTGAGAGTCTTTCTAGGAGGCTTGGGCAAATCATAAATAGAAGATAAAAGTGATAGGTGATTTAGAGAGAGAGCGTCACTGCAGGCATTTATTTATTCTACAAGCACTAATTTATGCAGCATGTTCTTCCTATTTATTACAATCCCCACTTTTCACAATCTGCACTACCCTCTTTGACACTTCACTCTATCCAAAATTACTTATGACCTTGCTAGGGATATATTATGAATACATATAATTATTTTTCATTAGAAACTTAAATATCCGCATATTGAGCAAAAATTATCAGTTAGTATATACATACATGCTAGTTCTTGGCAAAAATTTAATGATCAATTCAACAGACAATGATAAATTGGAAATGATGTCTCAAACCTCTTTAGCTTGTCTGCTTTCTAAATAATGCATTTGATCCTTTCTGCTACAATTCCATTGCTCATGTTTTCCCTCAATTTTCCATTACAATTTTTTTTACATAAAATTCTTTAGAAACAAAAAAACCTAATTGTTTGTGGACTATGGTAAGTATCCTCCATAAAATGATCATGTCTCAAACCACTAAGAAAGAAAAATATTTATATTAAATATCACTCAAACCACTAAGAAAGCCAAAATATTTATATAAATATCTTCGTAATCATACCTTTATAGTCCAGCGGGTAATGCAAAACTGGTTAACCAAACCCGACCTGGTCTTTTTTGAATCAAACCAGAAAACCCGGTTCAGCAAAATCCAAAACCGAATTCGTGCTTGATCGGTTCTAAAACCGAATTGAATAACTAGTTTACAAAACAGGTTAATTGATATGAATTGATTTTGAAATTTAAAAAAAAAATCTTAATACTCGCTCATAATGCCAGTGAGCCCATTTCTGTAATATTAGTGACCCGTCTATCAAGCCCACCCCGAGGATGAAAAAATCCAATTGTAGACTTAACCCAGGCTGTATTATCATAAACATTGACCTTGGAAAGTTACTGTTTAGTCTTTCATTATGTTTGGCAGATGGAGGCCTCATATTTCGAATTTATGGGTAAATCAATGTCTCTCATAAGAGTCGTCTTTCTGATTAATTAGAAATGAGAACCTTTTTGCTCAATTGAAGAAATTTACAGGGTAGTACTTTTTTATCTGTAAAAATGTCTTTCAAGATTATAAAAAATTGAAGACTAACGAACTGTAAAAAATTATGTAACGGTCAACTACCGTCTTCCCAATCTTCCTCAACTTAAAACGAAGCAATTAATTACAAAGTCAATTACCTACAAACAACGACTATGCACTAAAAAATGGCATAAATCTTTGTGAAACTGTATGATAGAGAACAAACCCATTTATTGCTCGTAGTTCAATTGGTACTCTTGATTTTTTGTAGGATGATAGAAAAAAATAACCAAACATAACACTTTAGTGATTATCTCAGGAAACAAAGGTCGTCTCGGAGGGCAAAAAAATAATTGTTAGGGAAAAGAAAATTAATTTATTAGCTATTAATGTTTAACGCATTGCTGCCTGGTTGGAGATGTCTCTTGAAAATTGTTCTCTGCTGGAATGTGTATGAACCTTACCATACATGAAGGCTGATAATATGGTTAGAATGTAAAATGATCGCATTTCCCAGTGACAAAAAGTTAAAAATTATAAGTGTAATTTACTCTCGCATAATTTTTTTTTTAAAAATCTCATTTATCTTTACAATTATCTAGTTATTTTAGTTTTGGTCAGTTCTACATGCCGAGATCTTAATATTGAATCGCAACCCAAACTCGCTTCTGTTGGATGGGTTTATTCTGGATTTGTAATTTTTAAAAAAAGTCGAAAAACAAATTATCAGCTAGGTACCACATAATACCTTGATTTGAGATGATTTAGACAGAAAATCTTCATCAAATGGTTTGACAAATTTTGTTAGGTTACCGTAATAGTATTAGAAACATTTTGTGAGTGGAATTTAATAGTCACAAGGGTAGGATACAGTCAATAATCATCATTCTAAATCTTGTTATGCATGTGTTATTTGTTTTTAATGCTATCCCCGATGCCACATACTAGAATGAAAGAGTAAATTTTTCAAGGCATTGATGTTATTAATATCATTTAAAATTGTTATGAGTTATTGGAGGACCTGTAAAAAGCATGAACTTACGTATGGACTACACATTTTTGAGTTCTAATTCCAAACGAAAATTGTGTAAGTGTACCATTTTTAGTTTAAGTGGAAAAAATGCATCAACATCAAGTTATAGATTAAAATGGTCAACACATATAGGGTACCACATTGCTTGATATACACCATGGTGATGGCTTGATGAATTCGTAATTTATATTCGCCTTCAATAGTATATTGCATACACTCAGCATTGTTTACCAAAAATTATTAGCTTTGCAACAACCTTAATATGGTGAACTTACAAGGAGTAGGTGTGGTTAAATATCTAATGCGCCTTACGTGACTTTCCAAATATGAATAACCTGTGCAGAGATTTTAGAATTAAGTATAGACGCTTTCGTTCGACAACGTTGTACAATCTATATTGTCGAGATCATTTTCTAGAGAACTCATTCAATACAATCAAATGCTTCACCATCCTTTGAAAAAACCGTATCTGGTGGGCCACTATAGACATCTTTCTGCACTATGGCTCTTTTCTTACCTTCTTCCTCCCTTCGCGAAAGACACTTTTCTAAGTTTCCTCAAGTTCCTGATCTCTACAAAATTACGTTCAGCGCCAATTAAAGTTGAGCTCATATAAGGAAATCACGTCCATAACTTCATATATATTAATATTTTTCCAAAGATTCATGATGATACTATATACCATGTGTGTTAAAATCAGAGTAGTTAAAAAAATCCTTAAAATTAGAACAACACATATTAACACACTAACCAAGGCACCGATAATTTTGACCGTGATTGGCTAACGTACCTATACCCCGAATAAGAGGGGGGGGTTTCACTCTACAAATATGATAATAGATACAAGTATTTCTCACAGCACCATCACTTCCATTCTGAGCGTATTGTTGGATCCTCTAATTCTCCAGCTATAACATCTGTTCCTATGGTGTTTATACCCCTGAATACCTTACAATTAAAAACTCATTGTAATCCTCACTATCTCTCTTCTGTACTTGTCTTAGTCTACATAACCTTGAATTGTTTCTAACGTCCCCTATTTATTAGGTAAATAAGACATTCTTATTTACCTAGGATCATATTCTTATTCCTATAGAACTCCTCTACTTTACATCATTCTCCTATTTAACTTTAAATCAAAGCTAGAAACCATTCTCTTTCCAATCATCTCACATAAAAAGGAAACAATTATTCTCATTACAATCTAAACA